GATTTGTAATTGTAGATACCTCTAAATGACCAGTGTTCTGTGTGTGGTCAGCTGATGGGTGTGTCTGAATTCCTACGGTCAGCAGTCAGCCGATCCGCACCGTCAATTTTTACATTACATCAGGAGAAGTACTGTCTCAAACGAGTGAGGAACTACACATTTGTAAGTAAAGAGGTTTATTATTGTTTCAGTCCTGCATTGGTCCTACAGAAGGAGACTATCTGTCTGACAATTTTGTTTGGTTTGTTTGTGTTTTGCGTCCTATTAACAGCCATGGTCATTTAAGGATGTGCCAGGTTTTGGGGGTGGAGGAAAGCCGTAGCTCCAGAAGAAAAACCACCGACCTACGACCAGTACCTGGCGACTGCCCCACGTAGGTCTCAAACCCTCGACCAAGTTGTGGAGGGCTAGTGGTAGCAGAGTGTCAGGCCTTAACCACCTTGCCATCGTGGCCCCCTTGTCCCTGTCTGTCAGTCAGTCTGGGCAAACTTAAGGAGGTAATGGAAGTGCCCTAACGCAATGGAATTCAATAGATTTATTCCATTAGCACCTTATTCAACTTTTAAATTAAGAGGTAAAACATCATCTGTTTGTCCATCCATCAATGCTTCAGTTTGTCACTTAAACGGGGGCATAACTTAGGACTGTCGCCTTATTCATTTGGTATGCAAGTACCTCTTGTGATGGTGGAGAGTGACAATACTGAAACCAGGCCTTGTAGCCCCTGACTACAGAGCTAGGGCCCTTTGTTTGCCATGTGACCATTTTTCTAGGTCAGTCATACACTTTTTATATGCGAGTACGTCTTGGGATGGCAGAATGTTTTGTTAGTTACTTACATCAAGCCTTATAACCCCTGAATACAGAGTTATGGCCCTTTGATCACCATGAGTCTTTATTTGGGGTATATATCTCTTTTACTCTGCTGTCACAGATAGTTGTCGAGGTTTGTGTGCGAGTACCATTTGGAATGGTTGTGTGTCACAACCTGAAATTGGTCTTCTATCACCCTACAGGGTTATGGCCCTTTGTTGATTTTTTAGCTCACCTGGTCCTTTCCTCTGACCAGGTGAGCTTATGCCATACTGCGTCGTCCGTCGTCTGTTTGTCTGTCGGTCAACTTTTCCTTTAAAATGCTACTTGTCCTGAATGGCCAAGTAGATTTTGACGAAATTTGGTCTGGAGCATCCTTAGGCCAAGGAACTCAATTTTGTATAAACAGTGAGTTTGGCCCCTGGGGGCAGAGGGGCGGGCCCAATGGGGGAAACAGCAAATTCTTCAAAATTATTATTCTTCTGTAGAATGACAGGATTTTGTCAAAAGGGGAACCAATTCTGTATAAATGGTGGGTCTGACCTCCTTCGGGCAGAGAGGCGGGGCCTAATAAGGGATATGGGGGAATAGCTTTGATATCCTCTTTCTTCCATTGGGATGAAGGTATTTTGACCAAATTGGAACAGTAGCATCCTATTGGGAAGGAAAATATAACCCCTGACTAACCATGTAATACATGTACACTACCAGCAACATCTGGCTCTTTCAACTTCAATTTTGCCAACATTTCCAGGTGAGCACTTGTTTTAATACCAAAGTTTGTCTTGAGATGGAATGCTGTGGATTGCTCATAATTTTTTACCTTTTTTTTTCCAATTCACTTTATCAGTACTGGTGAAGTAAGTTTACAGGTTGATTGCTGTGCCACCTTCGTTGTTTTCATAATTTCAGCTTGACTAGGTCCAGTTTTAATTCTTGTTGATTATAAGATAAGTCCAATAAACAGACACAACTTTGAATTAATATTTTATTCTCGATTAAACCAAACATTTTTAGTTCCAATAAATGTTGTCCTAAGTAATTGTAAGTTTTGATTGACTTCAGGCTTTAGAAGGTCGGCCGACTGACAGTAACGAGCTGCTGAAGAGACAGTTGGGACATCTTTATGAGGGTTTTGTCTTTGTTTACGGGGACATTGACAACATCAGACAGGTAAACAATCACACAGGTAAACAATTACACACTGTCAGGTTGACAATTACACAGGTAAACAATTCCACACTGTCAGGTAAACAATTACACAGGTAAACAATTACACACTGTCAGGTTAACAATTACACAGGTAAACAATTACACACTGTCAGGTAAACAATTACACAGGGAAACAATTACACCGGTAAACAATACATGAACTAGGTAATTCTACTGAATTTTTTTGACGAGGAGGCACAATGGAGTAGAATGAAACTGAGTGTAAGTTTTAGTAGTACCTACATTCTTTATCTTGGTTAGTCCCAGGTGTAATTATCATTTACCCACATCTGATGTAATCAATTAAAAATTGGAAATGCCATATAGTGGGTTATTTTTCGCTGGGATTAATCTTTGCCTTTTTTGTGATGTGGGCGAATTAGTGAATACAGCAAATATATTAAGTAAACAACATATATATAATAAACATACCTAGTAATTCAATGTAAAGGGCGAAATTATTACTAGGCGCCAAATGGCATCATGAGTGAAGGGCAAAAGTTTGACTGGGCAAAACCTTCCCTGATACAATATATATATATATAAGGGGTATATAAGTTAGAACAATTCAGTTGTGTAAACTGTCATTACTTTATCATTATGTACTGAACATTAGGAGTCATGATTGAAAGATGACATCAGTGGATTTATCCATAAAAATTAAATACATAGAAATCCAATACTTAAGGTGGCTCCACACTTTCGCAATTAACCAGCAGAATTCGTTGAAACTTTCATATAATGGTTATGCAACTATGCAGAGTTGATTTTATGAAAATCTAAACACTCCGATAGTTTGGGAACTTTTTTGGAAAAAATACCAAAAAAATGAATTTTCGTCAATTTTAAGATTTTCCGTTTTTTTGTGTGTGTGACATTGTTCGGAACAATAACAACAATAATAAAATGAAAAGAAGCATTTCTAATTAACCCTACAAATATTTTATTTATCGCAAAATAAATAACACATGTTACACAAAGTGTTTTTTATTGGATTTGTACGGATAAAAGTGATTATCTACAAGCTAAAAGCAAACAGGACACAAAGATCTATACATATAGAATGGGAAATTGAACAAAATATACACAATGGCTTTATAATTAATCTATTTTACATTTTACAATCACTTCGATCCGGGTGAGAGTTATCTTCCTTGAAAAAAATCGGAACTTTTTGCAGAGGGGTGACATTTACACAATGACAGTTGCCCTGTTTACATATAACAAAAATGATGGAAATAAATCAAAAATATGATATCAAAATTATCAATTTATTGTTCTTTAATGGAACCAAATTAACCTCAGTCATGTACACTTTGGACATCATTCCACAGTCCGCTAACTCACGGTATATTTGTAATTACATGTCAGGTACATATGTGACCAGAGGCTATCGCATGGTATGCCGTTCTCACGTGCACTCACACATGCATTTCATAGGTATCTTGATATTTTACAAAACATTATTTTCACAGAGTAAGTAGACTACATTTGTAAACACGATTTAATCGACAGAGCGAAACT